TTGTGATGGCAGAAGAGGAGAAAAGGTCATATCTCCCAATGATACATTTATCAGCTGTCACAGATTTGAGGACATTCGGATTACACAAGCAATGCTTGTAGAGAGAAGTATTTATTTACTGTAAAACTAAAGACCACAGAAAATGGTAGAAGGGGCTGTTCCCCACGACCCTCCACTAACGGCATAATCTTGCCATGTAGATGTTGTCTCCCCTGGTTCCTCACACTTTCCATAATTCTGATGTCATGGTGGCTTCCCTGTGGAGAACAGTCAGGGATCAGGGTTTGTTCAAGTCAGAAAAAGGAGATCTCACCACTCTGGGCAATCAGAAATTAAAAATAGAACTCTATGTCATTTCTAGATTTTGGATTTGTTTTCCAGTAGACCCATTGCTAAAGACATAAGAGATGTCCCATATTAGGCTTAACTGAAAATTATTAGCATTTATTTCACTTCCAATTATAGCCTCTTAAAATACACACACACATATATTGAATATGTTGATAAAACATATAAACTGGGGCCTGGAGAACAGAATACTCATGGTAAATTTCATATGAATTTATAAATCCAGTAACTGGATACCATAAACCACACACATTATGTGGGTGTCTACAAAGTCATCATGGTTCTTGGAAATTTCCTCTTCAAAGTGAACATGTGTGCATTTGCAGAGAAAAACAGAGTGGTTTCTTTCAACTGAAATGTTTTTCCCAGTAATGAGGCATTGTTTTCAGCAAATTCAAGGCGGAAAGGGGCCAACATGCCTGACTCTTCAAGCAGCAGAATGACCAAGGTTCACCTCTCTCTATTGAGGACGACGTCAAATGTGAATCTCGTTCTAACCACCGGCATCACACCTTTTTAAATGTAGCCTTGACTTGAACTAAAGAAAAACTACTTTGGGAATAAAATTAACTGGCTAAATTCACCCATCACCATGTAGCCTTTATTTTCTTTTCAGAATACCCAGATCCTTCTCCATCACCCTGGTAATGACTGTACTACTGACCTTAGAGCTTATATAAGAATTACCAGGATGCATTCTCCTTTTGGGGCATTAGACCTGGACTCTTACACTTGGAGAAGGGGTGGTGAGACACCTGTTCCATTTCCTGGTCTTCTTCCAACTAATACGTACTTGGACCTTATCAGTAAGTTGACAGAGTAGATGGCAGAGCAAAGAAGGCACTAACCTCCTTAAGGTCCACTCTACCCCTGGTGAGAGCCTCCCCTGAGATTTAGCTGTGGTTTTTAGTCCAGTCTCTACTATTAGCTGCAGGGCTTTCGCTATCACTCAAAACTTTTGAGCCTCAAACTCCTCTGCAAGAAGACATCTCTTTACCCATCTTGCAAGGTCATTTTGTAGTGTGAAAGAGGTGATGAGTGTGAAATATGCCCAGGATGACTTGTATATCCTGGTGCATAACTGGCAACCACTTGGCAAGTGTCAGTTACACTTGAACATGCCCCGTGCTGTGCCACCATTCGCACTGTGCACCCAAGTTCGACCTGTTTCACTGAGCACTGAAAATAGTAACGGCAAAGGGAGAAAGCTGTGATAATTGCAGGATCCGTCATTCAGGTGCATAAGGAGGGTTGGGGATCTCTAAAAATCTGCATTCATTCCTCCCTGTAAAAGCAACAAGGACATCTTGCTAATTGAAGTGTATTAGGGATGACCTGTCTCTTGAATTACCACACAGCTTATAACACGTGGTCAGCTAATTATCTAGCTCTTCAACAGCAGAAGCATCTTCCCAAGATAAACTTTATTTCTAAAAGTGTAAATTAGGATGAGGGATTAGGGTGCATGGTTACATATTCCAAACCATCACTCTCCTCAGCTTGGAAATCCATGCTTGTAATCTCAGGGCACGTCCCAAATTTGTCTAGGCAGACCTCATTTGAGAGCATCTCAAACCAATGAAGTATCTTTGCTTCCCGCCCCCGTCATTGAGATCTTCACATCTCAAGTTAGCATCTCGAGAACAAGCCCTTGAGTATAAATCATTTCAGCAACAAGGCTTAGAGAGAGAATATAAATTTTAGAAATAAGAGTTTAAATCATTTTCCTCATTGCCTTTGACATATGAACTGAGGGGGAGCTGTGTACTCAAAAATTGTTTTTCATGTTAATACATCGAAATAAGGCACCAGTTTCAACTGGGAAAGTTCGAATTCAAAAGTATCTGAATAAATTTCACAAACATTGTCATTGCTTTGATGAGGGTTCCCTTCTCCTGCTTCTAACTAACTCTAAATCCATTTCTCACAAAGGTGGTAAAACCCGCCTAAATTATTCAGGATATTCTGGTGACAAACTAATACATACAAACGTGTCTTCAGATCGTTGAAAAACATTTTTTATAAATATGGTGGTCTCACCATTGTTCTGACCCTTGGGTGGCATATTAATAGCAATTCTCTCAAGATTCTTGGATTTCACATTCAGCGAATCAGATATCTAATATAACGCAGGAGGACAATTTTACCTAATGCCTTAAATGTTTGTACCTTCAGATAATGTATGTAAGAAGCTTTTTGTGAATAGCATTGTGGTATACAAATGCTAGTATTTTCACTAACATTCACCATGCATGCATTGTTCCAATATGGGCAACAGCCATTTACGCTGGAATCATCTATTTTGAAGAATAAACCCTTTCATTATAACTCAGTAACCATAATCATAACCTCCAACTATGGTGTTGCTAGAACACCTTAAAGCTCTAGTTCTGGAAGAAAATTGCAGAATCCTCAATATAATCAAGACAAATCGGTTGGGCTACAATATCCTTATGATAATCAAATTTGTTTTGGTCCCCTCCCAAAGTCATATACTGAGGAACCCAATCAAATGCCTTGTCATTATATGAGTCTTCCTAGACATTATAGATTCAATCATTTCTGTCAAAATACCACATGTTGTAAAAAAGTGACTCACCCTAGAAGCTGAGTATCATTTCTGAACCCTGTCATTTTATAACGGGCATTATAATATCAATCTCCTCCCTGTATGTTTCTGAGAGATTGCTATGTGATGTAGAGTGTTATGAGAGTGTTCAGCAAATTTGCCAAATGGTAGACTGTTGTGGTGTTTCAGCTTAAATGGATAGGTCTGCCAACCCATGGCACACCATTCTATCTTGGAGTGGCTGCTCTCTTATTTATAACATATACTAAGGTTAACCCATGAGGTAAGAGCTTTGTCGTATGTAGACTATGACTGTGACCCATGCTTGAGTCATGACCACAACTGAGCGTCACAAACAGATAATTTCTTTTTTAAATAAAACAAAACAGAATAGGATAGAAAGAATCAGAAGTGACCACTCCAGTAAGAAAAAGATCATTTCGGGAAACTTTTGTTTCAGTGAAATATCTGTGTACTTCTTACTGGATGATGATGTCAACTGTGTATCTTATAAAGTTAAAGCTTTGGCATTGGAACACTTGGCAGCATCAACTTCTAGAAAAATCTAGGGCCGTAATAGTGATTCTGACATTTAGCCCTCATAGCAAAAATCCATGCATACTCCAGTATTTCTCGGAGTGTCCTATGGGACAACTGGTTTAGAATCTCTGGAGAGCTTGTTAAAATGGAGATGTGTAGTCTTACCTCAGAACTACTCAATAGGAATCTCTAGAGGTAAGATTGGCCATCTTTGGTTTTAATAGTCTTCCTCCTTAAGAATCACAGGATGTCTTTCATCGCGCCATTTTCCCAGGAGCGACTGGTTTCTCCAGTATTTGGGGCCTACATTAGACCAACTCTCCGCATGGGCATGGCAAGTAACTACAAAGACCAAATGTCTGATGTTCAGACGAAATTTCCATTTTTCTCTAAAGTTACAAATGGAACAAAACAGTTTTGCTTGTTTTCCATAGCAAGTGTTCCTGCTATAGACTCTACTCAGGATTGCTGTCAATCCCTCAGCTGATGGTTATTCCCTTTGCTGACTGCAACCCCCAACACTGTGAACTAAAGCGGACCTAACAGACCCCAAAAGAGATCACTCACTTCACCCCGTTTCCTCACAGAGTTGTTCTGCTCAGAAATTTGCCTAGAATCTTTTGGATCTCCCCACACTGTTTACATCACAAGGACAACCTCTACTCTTATCCAACACATAGTGACCTTTCCTCTCTTGCTTGCACACTTGAAGACTAAAGACCACAGTGACATCTGAACCCCTTTCGGTCATCCAGCAGACATTTTTTTGGCATGGCTTCAGAAGTACAGGACGTGAGGGATATTGGCAAAGCCATTCTGGGGAGAGCCCAATGCATTAAGGCCACCCTGAAACCGTACCCCACACCTACAAGCTTAAAGTAAGAAACACACTAACCAAAGTTTCTAAGCTTGTCTTGCAGAATGGCAAGGACACTGCAGATAAATAACTTGCTGACAGCGTCCTTCAACTAAACATCATGCAGGTGCATTGAGGGACCGGAATGACCGATCGGCAAACTTTGGATGTCATAGGCCAAAATTCCACTGCATGCAACACATGGAACTCTCCCGAATTTACACATGTGACCCATGAAGAAATATGAAAAGCAGTCGCGCCTGTGCAGAGGACTCCTAAAACTTCAGCCCCTAACGCCCTCCTACTCCCTTCCTTCTACTCCCTACTTCCTTGATAAATATCCCACAAAAAAGCCACTGGAGAAGACTGATTTGAGAGCTTTGTCTCCTGTCTCCCTGCTTGGCTGGCCTGCAATAAAGTCCTTTCTTTCTGCAAAAGACATTTGCCTCAGCATCTGGTTCTTCCATAGTGCATTGGGCAAATGAACCCACTTGTGGTTGGTACCAACTCAACATGCATCATTTCCTTGTCCACGTCCTTCCTCCACAGGGCCTGGCTGGAGACGTCTACCAAGCTCAGAAGGGGAAATGCGGCTAGAAGGAGCCCCCTGGTTCTTCCACCTCCATGGAAATACCTGAGGGTTATGTTTCATGGGCAGGCAGGATCAGGATAAGAGGCGATACCAACCGTCGCATGAACTGGGCCGCATCCTCCGTCAGCCTCTGCGTGAGGTGGTCGTAAGACAGGGGCTGCTGCGTAATCTCGTGGTTCTTCATCAGGAAGCAGTTCAAGGGCCGGAAGTAATAGAGGAAGCACACCAGGAGGCCGAGTATCATGGCCGCCAGGAAGAGAAGGCAGAAGAAGAGCAGGTTGGGTGCATGGAGCAGCCCCAGGCACTTGAGCACCGCCAGGGTGAGGAGAGCAATGGCAATGACCTGGAGAGGGATGAAGACCAGCACCCTGATGCCTGTGGTGAATACACTGCCCTCTCCAGGCTTGCAGTCTCTCAGGTTGGTCACAGGGAGCCCGTGGAAATAATCGAAGCCGTGGCTTAAAGGATGGTGACAAAAGTCGGTTTTGTTGTGACAGCTGGTCCCAAGGTGCCACTTCCCTGACAAGACAATTGGGTGACAGGTTTAGTCCCAACAAACACCCTGACTGGAACATCAGCTTCAGATTCCCACATGCTGAAAAGTAGGATCTTTCTGCATATTTATGAGCCCAAGTCCTCTTCCTTAGGACCCTACAGGTTTTCACTTACTGTTCCACAAACAATACGGTATTAACTACTCACTCTACCAGAAAACAGAAACTAATTTAGTGATTGAAAAAAACAAAGACAACAAAAGACAAACACCTAACATATTTAATAAGCAGAAAACAAAACTACATAGAAAAACACAAGTTTTTCTGGGGCAGATATCTTTTTAAAGACATTTCCTTAAAATTAAAGTCTTAGAACCAACTTGATTTTGTTCCTTGAATGTTAAAAGTTGAAACGAATCCTTTCTCAAAAAACAACCTCTGAGGCATGAGGAAATCACACTCATAACTCAGCAATTATTTTAAACACCTATGAACATTTCTTATAAAATGTTAATTATACTAAATTAATACGGGCCTCACAAAAGAAAAAAGGATGATGGTTTTATGATAAGATGTAAGAGGAAAGAGAATGGTCATTTTGCTCCTATGAGATTTTCTACGATTCATCTGATGACCTACAGATCCATGCTTACCAAGTACAAAGGAAGAAGGAACAGAATCCACGGGAATGTCATCCTTACCAATGGAACAGAATCCATAGGAATATCAACTGAGACAAATTCTGACACAATTTGAGTATTGAAATGTAAAATGAAAATTTTTATCAATAGCATGGTGTGTATATGTTGTTTTTTATGCTCTGTGTGTGTGTATAATTACCTATGTATCTATCTTGTCTATCTCATCCATCCATCATCCATCCATCCATCCATCCATCCATCCATCCATCCATCTACCCATCATCCATCCATCCATCATCCATCCATCCATCCATCCATCTACCCATCATCCATCCATCCATCATCCATTCATCCATTCATCCACCCACCCATCATCCATTCATCCGTCCACCTCATTTATTGACCTATCTGTCTCTATCACCTATCTCCTCTGTCTTTCCATCCATCCATACATACATCTGTTCTTCCATCTGTCTGTCTGTCTTTCATTATCATCTATCTATCTATCTATCTATCTATCTATCTATCTATCTATCTACCTATCTCTTTCTCTCCCTATCCATCCATCTACACACATACACACATACATACATACATACTGACACATATTTACACATACAAATAGCCCAGACAGGCACATTGTGAATTGAATTGAATGTAATTTAGAATTGAAATCATTTCTTCCCTATTTAAAGTTGTGCCGACTGTGTCTGCAATGTCATCCTTAAGGAGCCTGCCCTCGTGCCTTCCCCAGTCTCCCTCTCACCCTGCCCACATCCTTGCCTCCCCCTTCTCAGCTGCCCATACCTATCAGAGCTGTTGAATAGCCTTGATTCTTCAGGAGCTTGGCGAATGTAATCTCACTGGTGGGAAGTCCTCCAGAAGAGGCCGAGAAGAGGAAAACTCCCACTCTGGACTGAGATACCATTCCTGAAGCAGGAGAAATCAACCATTAAGACAGGAGCTGGGGGATGCCCTGAGGAGGACAACGGTCACAGCGATGGAGCCAGGTTACCTGATCGGATGGGGTACCGGCCTGTCATGAAGGCCGCCCTGCTCGGCGTGCACAGGGGTGATGCCGCTAGATGCTGAGTGAGTTTCACTCCCCCTTCGGCCAATCGGTCAATATTGGGAGTCCTAGAACCAAAGAATTACGTCATTCAGGATGACCCTGAAAAAGCAGCTTTCTCTGTGAGTCACCTCCCAATATTCCCAGGAAATGAGAGCTGCACGGGGTTGTGTGAGGTGGGAGAGGGGCGGGGAAAGGCAGAGGTGACCCAAAACCGAGACTCAGAATGAGAAGGAAACCATATTGAGGTCTAAATGATGCAGGTCTGACTTCTCCAGGGGGCCCACCCATGCCCTCAGGGGACTCCGAGCTCCTGTTCTCCTTAGCTCTGGCTTAGCAGAGACGGACCAAGTCTTGATAATGGGCTGCTGCAAGGAGAAAGAGTGAGACATGAGTGAGGGTCAAGGCCTCACTATTCCCCTACCCCTGTCCCCACAGTTACCTCTGTGCCCCTAAACAAGAAAGCCCTGAGGGCAGCCTGATTCCTCTCTTCCCAACCACAGGCAAAGGGAGGCCCTCAACCATTTCTCACCAGCCTCTGCCTAATTTCCACACACCCCCAGGGAGAAGGGAATAATGGGACTCCATGTGTATTTACCAATGAACATCAACAAATGGGTTAATATGGTCCAGGAAAAAGAGACACATGCTATTGTGAAAAAACGACATGCTGTGAATCACTCACATGCTTTCTTGGCTCGTGTTTTTTTATGCTTAATAAATACTTATTTATGGGCTAACTTCTAGGATGATGCATTATGCAACACAAGTCCTTCTAGTGCCTTTGCTCCAGGAATAGATTGGCCAATCATCTTAGGAACTCATTCCAGACTTCCTAGGCATTCAGAAATGAACGTGTTTCAGATCTTGTACCATGCCAAGCTCTTATCCCATATCCTCCCCTGGAAACCCTGGACCCTGTCTCTCCGCCAGGCTGGTCATCTTCTGTCCTTCAGTTCGGGCATAGATGGAATTCTCACGGGCCTCCTATGGCCTATGGAAGGGGCCTGTTCCATGTGTAGGGAATCAGTCATACTCCCCTATCACAGCAGCTTCCTCACTATGAAGGGATGGCATGGCTAATTGTGCTCTCCTCCAAGACGGCGGCCTGTGGAGTGGGAGCATGCCACTTGTTCACTGTGGCCCCACAGCCACATTCTGCATTAATGCACAATGCAAAGAAGATCTTTTCATCGCATTTGTCATGTCAAACTAGTCTCTCATCTATGAGTTTAGTTTATGCATTTAATGGACAATATTTCAATTGTCAATATTTGGTTTTGCCTTAAATCACTAGATTTAGAAGGTTCAGAAGACTGAATCTGCATGTGTATTTGACTTAAACGTCCTAGTGCCTACATTGGGCTATCGAAAAAATTTGACTTCTTTGGGGTGTGATATGATAAAATATAAAGTGAAAAACGTAATTTAGAAAGAATTGAAATCTAATATGGAGAGTAAGACAGATTTAGGGTAGATATTGACACGAATTCTTCCTTGGGATTTTATAGGCTTTTTTTCCTTTTGATAATTGGTAGAAATTGAACCTTAAAGGCGTGATTGTAATTTTTTAACTAAGACAACATAGTAGGAACAGTAATCTATTCCCTTAGTAAATTTTAGTAATGTTATATCTAATATTATATTAAAATTATATTTATTATATGTTATTTAAAATAATATATAAGATGAAAAAAAATAGAAATTATAACCCTGACAAGAAAAATTAAATTATTAACAAGGTTTATGTCACAAATGTCAAAAAGTAAGATCTAAACTTTTTACAAAACGAGGCAAAAGGTGGGGTAGAAAACATACATGGTCAATTAAAGTTTTAAGACAGCACTGAGTGCAGATCTTAACACCGTACATACTTTTACAAATCTAACAAATGTCCTAGGTAAGCATACATTTTAAAAATGACAAGTAACATTTGATGCGAAGATTCGGGTTGGAACTGATATATATTTGGTTATGGCTTACAAGCCTCCTTATCCTCAAAAGAATAATTTACTTCATTTTTGTTTGATCTGACACATTTTGTTTGATGAAACACACTTCTCAAGATGAACTGTCATGATGAAAAGAAGAGGCCAGAGGAAATGGCATGAACATAAATCAGTGTCCCATGGCACTTAGCAATGGGTCCATCCCGGCTTCAGACAGTTAGTATTCAGAGATCTCACGAGAAAATTCTAATAAAAGCAAATGATCTCTTTCCCCTTCTTCTTTAATTTAGTTTGTGTTGATCATTTGTGACATGAACCTCTCCACAGAACTACTTTTATGTCATGGTTTCCTCCTTATTATAAAGAGAAAATGCAACGCTAGTGCCAATATTCTACTACACAAGAACTAGCTTTCCTTTATTTATTTATTTATTTATTTATTTATTTGTGAGGAAGATCAGCCCTGAGCTAACATCCATTGCCAATCCTCCTCTTTTTGCTGGGGAAGACTGGCCCTGGGCTAACATCTGTGCCCATCCTCCTCTACTTTATATGGGACGCCGCCACAGCATGGCTTGATGAGCAGTGCGTCGGTCCACACCCGGGATCCGAACCTACGAACGCTGGGGCCGCCAAAGCAGAGCACATGAAATTAACTGCTACGCCACCGGGCCAGCCCCTAGCTTCCCTCTTTAAACCAAATGGTCCTTAAAATATATCTTACATTAAGCTGGTTTCATGCTGGTTTGGCTTAGACACCAAACGCCCTCCTCGGTCCCTGAGTCCAGTTCCCATTGTGTTTTTCCTACCATTGCAGTCGCCCCTGGCTGGTGAAAATTCTGCCCTCATCCAACATGATACTTGTCCTTCTGACATTTGTCCCCAGCCAGGGTAGCTGGCTGATGATTGAGAACAGCCTGGGCAAGGAGGGGAAGGAAGGTGTGGAGGTGACAGTGAGTGTCTGACAAGCCGAGATGGGATGGGGCACCAACTGGGACAAAGTCAGATGCCAGATAGAGAAGTCAGCACAGAAGAGGTGAACCAAAGGGAAGAAACAAGGGAGAATATCAAAGCAGCAGCACAGTGGCGGCGAGCAAGAAAGATTTATTATGCGTATCTTCCGAGGGATCTCTCTGAGTCTATCCCACTGACTACACTTACTGAAACAGATCAAGCCACCCCTGCCTTCCTACGCCCAGATCCATATGTGTCTATATGAAGTCATGCATTGAAGTGTGCAGTGTGGAGGGCTGTAAATGTTTCCATGTGGGCTGTGCTCGGCAATGCTGTGAATGTGTGTTCACCATCACTGGGGACCGCCGCCTATGAACAGAGCCATGTGTTTACATAGCAGCCGTGTCACCCAACCTGAGAGTCTTGTTTCCATAGCACCCAGGATCTCCGATGCCAAGGTCGTCAGCCATCAGCAGGACAAAGTTCGGCCTTGACGCTGCCCAGCTCTGGCTGTCACACAGGAACAACAGCAGAAGCCAGAGGATCTTCATCTTCCTGCAAAGGGCAAGGGGAAAGAGAGAAGTGAAGGACGTTGGTGCGAGGTGGACCTCCTTCTCTAGAACTTTCCTCTCTCCTCGCCCACATTTCAGAAGAGGGCATTCTTACAACCTGTCCACCCCAGACAATGTGTGCTCCAAAGAAAGAATCTTATCCTCTTTCCTGTGTGTTTGTTTCCAAAACAAATATTTCCTTTTCCGTGGACAGCGACGGCCTCTCGATTCTACCCTAGACCAAAACATTGGTTCTGTTTAGAAAAACGGAAATACAACCACCTCTCGCTGTCTCTTTACAGAAGGCGGGTTCTGTAATTAGCTAAAAGTTCTCTGTTTGAGCACTGGAGAGACAGACAGGTCATTACAATCAAATTTTCAATGTCACATCCTTTCTAAAATGAGCTATGAGTGCCGGTGTAGGAGCTTTTCAAAGGGAAACATAAAAACATACGCAAACTTTCCAAAACTCAAGAAGCAGGAGGTTCGTAGCCTGGGCAGCTCTGGGTGTTTGGTAATAGGTCAGAGTGCATGCACCCAAGGAAGGGAATCTGGCCATCTTTGACGGCTGTCATCACAACACACACTCACTGTACCGCAAGTCATTCCTTTCAAAAATAACAGGCTGGAGGAATCTGGAGGAGGATGACGCTGAGGCGCACACACCTGAAACTCTCTCTCTAATGTCATAGAATTTCCAAGTGAATATTAGAAGAGGAAGAGAGCCTGCAAGCTTCTGAGCAGCTGGGGGCCAGTAGCATCCTCAGGCCCTATCACCTTGGTTGAATACAGGGCAGTTAGATGTCCACAGGGCTAGACTGAAGGATGCACCCACTTGAGCTCTCCTGCTCATGCTGGGAGAACTCAGGACCCGGGGAAGTGAGGGAAGACCTTAGCAGAACCTATGGCATGAGGAACTCATGGGGATGTGAGGGGGCCAGGACACGTAGATCCCACTGGAGCTGTGGGGCTACACCCAAGGCACCAATGGCCACGTGGAGCAAGAATCCCATCATGGTTCGTCTGCACACACCTGAGAAAACAACCTGGGCCTCAGCAGACATCTGGCTGCCCACTCAGGAGGCCTTCCCAGCCACTCCTACACTGGTCCTCCCCATTCTCTTTCTCTGCTGCCTGTTTTCCATAGTGCTTATCCTCACCCAGCATGGGAAGCGGAATAATGGCCCTGTCCCCAAAGACATCCGTGTCCAAATCCCTGGATCCTGTGGATATGTTCCCCTACACAGCGAAAGGGATTTTGCAGATGGGATTAAAGATCTTGAGATGGAGAAATTATCCTGGATTGTCCAGTTGGCCCATACAATCGTAAGTGTCCTTATAAACGGGAGGCAGAGGGATATTAGAAGAGGAGGGTGACATGACAATGAAAGCAAGGTGGAGAAAGACGATGTGATGCAGGGCCACGAGCCAAGGAATACAGGTGCCTCCAGAAGCTGGAAAAGGCAAGGCTTCCCTAGAGCCTCCAGAAGGAACCAGCTCTGCTTATACCTTGACGTTAGCCCCACAGGACTCATTTTGGACTTCCGACTTCCAGAACTGGAAGATAAATGAATCTGTGTTGTTTTAAGCCACCGACATGGTTCTAGTTTGTTACAACGTTATGGGAAACCAATTCACCTGGTACATCGACCAGGTGTGTTGTGTGTTGTGTGTGTGTTTGGGTCACTGTTCAATCCTACAGCACAGAACGGTCCTTGGCACGTATCAGGCATTCACGTTTTCGTGTCTGTCATGTTAAGGCTTTGCTCAAATACCTGGGGTCCTCGGCAGTCTGCTCATATTCAACAGGGAGACCCGGGAAGCTGGCTCAAAGGCCTGTAAGTGTGTGTGTGTGGGACTGTGGCCTGTCATTGGCCTTGATGGCTCCAAGTCAGGCCCTGTAAGCCTTTTCTCATGGGCCTGTTTCTCCACCGAGCAACCCCTCAATCCCCCGCTTGGGGTGTGGGTCCTGGTGGCTGGCTGCATTCTGGAGCTAGAGTAAGGGAAGGAGCTGGCATGCCCTCCCTTCATGACAGGGAAGTTCACTAGTCTTCCAGTTCCAACCCTTCGTCTTCCCTGTGGCCTGAGCTGGGCCTGATGTCCAGAGCTCGGAGCCTTCCTGATGCACTTTCTCCAGAGAACCAGCCTGTGTCTTGCTGGGATGTGTGTGTGGGGTTGTCTGGCTCTGCAGATTTGGGACTGAGATCTAGAAATCCAACCTCTTCCATAAAGACATGCAAATAGTCCTTTGGTTTTCAGTCCCACTCCTCACCCCATCTTCAGAGGTATCTGCAGCTTCTATTTCCTGGGCCTTTCTGTGGTGCTAAAATCACGCTTCTTGCTGGCTTCTTCAATAGGCAGGGAGGTATCCCCTTACCCTCTCCTGCTCAGTCAGTGCCTACTCTGCCATTGATTTGCCATCTTCCATCATTCTCTGTCCATCTCTTGGAAGGGGCCCAACATGCATGTTCAACCTTCCAGCTGGAACCAGAAGCCTTGGACGATTCCCTCTCATCCAGGAGGACTTTGGCTGTCTAGTTTATTTTGTCGTTTCCTCTCTTCTCACTCTGTTTCCATACTCCAGAAGTTCTGCTGCCCCGTGATGGGTTATCAGTTTGGATCCAGAGCTTAGGTTGGCAGTGGCAGTGGGGAAGCTGTTCACCAGGCTGCCCCTCCAGGCCAGGGAGAGGCCTGGCTCAGTTGCCAGATGGGTGGCAGGGAGGTGTGAGGAGAAACACCACAGCCCCAGACCATGTTCAACATCAATGTTCTTCTTAGCCTCTTCTCACAAGTGCTGGCAGGTGGGATCCCCCAGCCCCCGTTTCCAGCCCGAGCCAGCTTCTTGCCCCCAACACCTCCCAGAGCCAAGTCTGTGATTGTACCCGCTCCGACCCTGAGACTAGGAGCCAGAACTCATCGCTTTGTCTTTCTGTTCCTCGCTGGGCGTCAGAGCCCCTTGTGAGCGCTGCTATGCCTCTGTTCTCTCTTTAGGCTTTGACTCATTGTTAGGTCTTTGGAGCACAAAGGTACCCATCAACGTGTGCACTCGCAGAGCCACCTTGACCTTACCCTTCATCTACTCTTCCAGCACTCCAGCTCGCTCGCCGCCCACAGCCCCCCTGGAGTCACGGAGGACGCCGGAATGCGCTCCTCTCTGAACACACTCCCTGACACTAAATAGTCAACATTTGTTGACTGAGCAAATGAGGAAATGACCACTGACAACCTTTGTGGGTGCAAGAGTGGAAAGTTGCTCTCCTCCCTACCTGGACTGTAGGCACCATGAGGGCAGCGGCTGGTTGAACAAGTGTCACCCAAAACGGCATAAACTCAAGAGCTGACGTTTACTCTTGACATCGAATTAGAAATTCCTCACTCTGACTCAACCAAAGAAGGTGATTAAGCTGGGCCGTGAACTGTTTTTTTAAATGGTTGGAAGGTTTTACGGGCAATAGCCGGATTCAAAAATTAGCATCCGTCTCTAAATATAAAGTGAGACACGCTACAAGTTTCGAAGATTCCTAAAGGCGCCCAATAGTAATGCCTACGAAATGCTTAGGTTTGGCACATCGGGTGTCCCTAAGTGGATTTAATGGCAAGCAAATCCATAACTAATACCAGTAATATAGAAAAGACTATGCTTAATACCTTCCTGTCCTTGTAAGAATGCCACGTATAACATTCACACTAGAGAAGGCAAGAGCCATTAATGCTGTGGGGGTCTGTTTCTAGCTAGCTAATATTTTCATGTTTTACTTAATATAGAAAATAAATAAATTTATGTTCTTATTTTAAAACTAGAGTTGTCTGGGTGCTTAGTACACAACAGGCACTGTGCTTCTTCATCAAGTCACCTGTGTGACAAAGTAACACGGGAGCACGTGTTTATTGAATTATGTTTGACTTAGCCTTCTCAGAGTTAGTCAACAGGGCACTCAGCCTTGGCACTACTGACATTTGGGATTGGAGAGTCCTCTGTTGTGGGGGGCTGTGTTGTTCACTGGAGGAAGTTTAGCTGCACCCCTGGTCTCCACCCACTCGATGCCAGTAGCATGCCCTTCCATCCCAAGTTGTAACACCAAAAATGTCTCCAGACGTTGCCAAATGGCCCCCCAGGGGTCAAAATCATGCCCAGTTAAGAGCCACCGAGTCAGTCCTAGCCTCTCATCCTTCCGATCAGCTATGAAATTGTCTGTGAAGTTATCACTCCTATACATAACATAATTACTATTCATCTCCTTTGCTCTCATCTGTGGGCGGGTTGGCTTCTAGGGAATGATTCGAAACTCCAACCATCTGAGGAACCGCGAATTTCTCCTTTGCACCCACAAGTGCAACTTAAATGCTAACAGATAATGTTCCTCGGCCATAACATGCCCCACCAGTTATGGATGCCCTTAAATTCCTGTGCACATGGCAATGATCTGGATAAGGCTCTTTCAAGAGAAGACTAGGTTCTGAGCATTCCATCTCTCCCTTACCTGTTACTGACCTGTCAGTACCGGTCCAGGTGGCACATCTCTCCCCATCTAACCTTTTCATCCACAGTTATCCTCGCGAATGGTCACCTTGCCAGGCGCCTTTCTGAACCCCGATCAAAGCATCCTCACTCTCACACATTGGGAATTTGGAGCAATATCTTCCTCTCTCTCTTGACCTACTTCCCATCCACCCCATCTCACCTCTTTCCCTTTCAAGGATCTTCCCTTTGCATAAAAGCAAACTCGGCTCCCACGATTCCCTTCCTCTAAAGATAACCAAGCAGGGAAATGTGACTCTTCAGTTTGGTATTCCGGCAGCCACTCTCTCATTCCTAACTCTCCCCTTAACTCTCCCTTCCGTGGCTTTTATTCTCTGTTTGTAGAGGAGTAGAGGAACGAGTGGAGAATTAAGAGTCAGGGGTCTGGTCCTGGCTCAGGGAAGCAGCTATGACATCTTGGGCATGAAGCATGATCTCCTCATGCCTCACTCTCATCCACATTTACTAAGATGGAGTCTCT